CCGGGCTGGGGATTCGAACCCGCCACCTTAGGTGTACGTGGCTGGCGCCTTAGCCGGTTGAGCTATAGGCACCGAGCCTGGAACCAGAATTCTTAACAACACAAAACAAACTCTCTGCTTAATACTAATTTTTCACTTGTTAGATCCAAAGCAAAAGAAAAATTGTAATTCCCGAAAAAACAATAATATAACAAATTATATATTAATAATAAATTATATAATATAATTATAATTATTTATTAACAATAAATTATATACTATAATAAACAGTCATGGAAACTGCAAACAAGATTGCCAAAGATAAACAGTTAAAGAAAGAGAGCTGGGCCAGGTGCGGTGGCTCACACCTATAATCCTAGCACTCTGGGAGGCTAAGGCAGGAGAACTGCTTGTGTTTAGGAGTTCCAGACTATCCTGAGCAAGAATGGGACTCCCATCTCTACTAAAAACAGAAAACTCAGCCAGGCATTGTGGCAGACTCCTGTAGTCCCAGCTACTCTGGGAGGCTGAGGCAGGAGGATCCCTTGAGTCTAGGATTCTAAAGTTGCTATGAGCTAGACTGAGGCCATGGCACTCTAGCCTAAGTAACAGAGTGAGATTCTCTCTCCAAAAAAAGAGAGAGCATGCATTCTGGAATATAAAGTTGAGAAAATATACTAGAAAACAACCAAACCAAAAGAAGGAAGAAAATATGAAAGAGAAATTTAAAATGGTAACAGATTCAATTCTGAAGTTCTAGATTCTGGTTATTAAAAATTCCAAAAAGATAAAAGAGAAAATAAGGGAAAGGAAACAGTCACAGAAATAAGAAAATTCCACATTACAATGATCTCCAAAAAGCTACTGACTGCCAAGATATCAAGTGAAAACCAACCAACCAACTACAACAAAACTCAAATCCCAGGTCATCACTGTGAAACTGAAGAATGCTAGAAATAAAAGATTAAAAGTCTCCCAGCAAGACAAAAACAGGCAGAATACAATTTTAAAATGATCAGAATATAGTAAGTTTCCCAATTTCTAACCAAGAACCTAGAAAAATAATCTCTTCAGATTTCTAAAGGGAAACTCTCTTCCATGCCAGCCAAACTATTCATTACTAGCCAAAGTATTAATATAAATAAAATGTGACAGAATAAAAAGATTTTCAGTAACGCACTAATTTTAAAAGTTTGTCATCCATTTGTCCTTTCTTGGAAAGTAAATTAAGGATATACTACACAAAAATGAGATAGGTAACTAGAGAAAATGAAGATAAGCTGTCCAGGAAATAGTGGATCCAATCCTGGATTGTGGCAAAGGAAGTCCCTGCATAATACCTCTAGAGACGCTTTGGATAGCAACCTGTTCAGATTAGAACAGACTGACTGAGGTGGGGAAGGGGCTGGAAATACTATTTTTTCATTAAGCCTTTGGATAGTATGTAAATTATTTTAAAACCATGTATCACATTGATTTATTTTTAATCTAGTAAAAAAAATTAATTTAATTTTAGTAAAATTTTTTTTTAAAAAGTAAAATATTAAAAGAGGCAGTTATATAAAATCTTAGACTCATTCAACTTTTAACTTCTATCAGTGTTTGGTAAACCTTAAATATCGCCTAAAAAGATTCTGCAATTTTCTTCTATAATTTTTAAAGTAGAGCCAATTTGAGGAATATGTATTACATAAAATTTCAAAGGCCATAATAAAAGAAAAGAACCATTAAGAAATTTACTTTATGGCTTGGCACCTGTGGCTCAAGTGGCTAAGGCGCCAGCCACATATACCAGAATTGGTGGGTTTGAATCCAGCCCAGGCCTGCCAAAACAACTAGGACAACTGCAACCAAAAAATGGCCAGGTGTTGTGGCGGGCGTCTATAATTCCAGCTACTTGGGAAGCTGAGGCAAGAGAATCACTTAAGCCCAGGAGTTGGAGTTTGCTGTGAGCTGTGATGTAATGGCACTTTACCCAGGGCGACAGCTTGAGGCTCTGTCTCAAAAAAAAAAAAAAAAAAAGAAATTTACTTTATATAAAATACCTCAAAAGTACCACTTTCATCTTTTTGGGACTTATTATTGGTTACCAATTAACTACTTTTGCCTAAATTATGTTCCTTCTCTCATTATTAGAGGTGGTCCGGTCTCATTAGCTGACATTTAAACATGTTTCATGATTCAGGGCAACACACCCATACGCAAAAAAGGTTCCAGAATATAGCTAGTATAGTGACGAGGCTCACAGTAGACATTTAACCTATCTTAGCTATTTCTCACTCTTTCCTACTTCTTCTTTCCTTTGACATTGAAGCTCCTGTTCAGAAAATCTCACCAGACCAGCCAGCAGAGAAACTCTATACATCAAAGTCTATCTCCTACTTAGAGTTAAACTAAGTTGTAAACTCCATGATGGCATGTTTCAAACATGGAATCTGTTTGTTTCAAAAGGAGTCCAGCATTCCCAGATTCAAAGTATTCTCTACTCTTCCTCCTAGCCTTAGCACAGTAAAGTTTCTTTTCAAAAAGTAAATAGTCACAAAAACATTAGTCCAGAAAATCCATAACCAAACGATATAAAACAACTTATAGTTAAACTAACCATCATTACTAACACAAGTGCCAAATTTCACTTCAACTAATCTTTCCTGGGCACATACAATGAGGCTGGCTTTGATGGCCACCAGAAATTCTATAATTTGGTCCCTGTTCATATGAAACTAAAACACATAACCCTTAGAAAAGTGTTGAGGAAGGAAACTGAGCAACAGAGAAAAGGCAGAGTGCTCTTTCTCAATCACAGTTTTAAGTTAAATTTGGCTACTATACAAAATACAAACACAGATATAAAACAAAACAAAAAGTATCCACAATTTAGAATTAATATTTATTCCCTGGTTTTCTGCTACACATCTGACCTTGTCTATAAGTGCTAACTAAATGCTTAAACAAAGAAAGTATTATTGACTCAGAAGCCAGTTGTAACATCATCATCAACTCATTCTACTGGCTTTCAACAAGTGACATCCCTATTACAAGTCTAGGTTTTCGCTAATAAACAGATAATAGACAGACAGGAGAAGATTAAACTTAAAGATTCTAAACAAAAATTAAATTCTACAAGTATCATTTACTCAAGCAAAACTGCTGTTCTTATTTACCACTTAGCTGAAATTATAGCAGCAGCCACTGAATACTTAATGCCTACTATGTTTCAGGTATTAGATTACTCAATTTACAACTACTATTTCTAATTCTCTTGACAATCTTACAGTGTAGATAATATGAAAATGAGGAAATAAAAGCAGAGAAATTGGCTTACCAAATATACTATAGTTCATACATGCCAGGAACTGTCTATTGAGACCATCAAGCAAAATCCCATGGGTAATTCTTTCCTAGCAAATTTGTATCACAAGCATTATTTCTACAGAAATCTAAATAGACATGAGAAACCTAAGTAACTTTATTTTTTTTAAAACAAGTAAAGTCAATACACTTTGCAATTCAAAATATTAGAGCTGGAAATGTTCATTATGTACTCACTTGATGCAAGAGACGTTTCAGTTTGAGTAACTGAGTTTTTACAGCAGTGCAATCCTGAACCATGTGCCGAAGGGTCATCTCATCCAGTATCACTGTATTTTCTGGTACATCTATAAACATCTTCTGAGCTTGGAAAAAGGGGGTCCCTCCATAGCTTTCAAAATGACCCATAGGAGATTCTCTATATGGAGAGCCTCTAGAAGGGCAAGGGAAGAAAGTAGAGAAAAAAAGATACACAACACAATTTCAGAAAGAAATAAAGGTAATGAAATTACCACAATGATCATTACAAATCATTTACCATTATCGCAAAGCCTCTGACTTACCTGTACTTCTCTTATTCACCAACTGTGTTTCCAACCAGAAGGCCCAATTAGCTGTATTTGTCATTAAAACAATTATCTTTCATATCCCCACCCTGACCACCACCCCTTTGTCTTTGTGCATTTTATACACTGGTTGAATAAACCTTTTCCTTAGGAACCAGGATAGGAAAAAAAATGGTCTATAAAGAGCTTACCTGGAAAAACTTATTCTTCCTTTTCCACACTGATTACTCTTTATAGTTTTTGACTTTGGTTGTCCTCTTAAACTTCACATCTTTTTTAACCCCATACCTGTGCTACCCATGTCAGTTCCCAGCTTTTACCTACTTTTAGTACCCATTTCTTCAAGTCTCAATAGGCAGTTGAAATAGTTAAACTGTTATTTCTTCTTTTGCTTTTACATTGTGGATAAATTATGTTTTCCAGTAAAGATTACACAAGCCTTTATAAAAGTCTTACATATACTACATGTTTTCTAATCTTCAACACGTACTGCATTTAAAAAAACCTATTCTAAAAATACTTACATTACCCTTTAGTTTCATAAAATAACACATATGCCAAATAAGAGGAAAACATTAAGGATAAGGTTTTCTTTGGAGTGAAAAACAAAATTATTTTTAACCAGAAGTCATAGCTCCAGCAATTTAAAAATTAGTCCATTCATAATATGTATACATAATTCCAGATGGTTCTCAAATTATGACAAAAAAATTACTGTTTATGTGAAATCCCAATATTTAAAGAACATACTAAAACATATTATTTTCAATATACTGGCTATTTCAATATATCAGGATTAAATTAATCATGCATTACATTTGCAAAACTAAGAATGTATTAAATTTCAACCATATTGAAAATGTAAAAATAGGTTGTCTACAAATTTTCTGGTTTTCAACAAGTATTGCCAAATCTCTGACTTCTCAAATAGTCAATATAAGGTTGGTTTTCACAAGATCATTTTACGTTCAAAATACATACTTCCCAAAAGTACTTCAAGTGTGTCTTTAATTTAAACAAAGAAAAAAAATTTTTAGAATTTTAAAACTGTTGATCCATAAGACAGACCTCAATTTGGTCCTAGATAATTATGCTTTATTTTATTGGTTTAAAATAGTTTAATCATTAAATTTCAAATATTGATCAATTAATTGCCATGAATTTATCCATCCATGACAGAATAGCGGGATAATCTATATTTGGAGTAATGAAAACTGTAGAGTAATAAAGTTAACAAAAGAGTTAAGGAAAAAAAGAATTACCTGGAAAATGAATAGTAGAAATGAAAAGAGCTATGTTTTCAGAAAAAAAGTTGACATGCTTTGGGAAATTTTCCTAAGTAGGAAAGAACTTGGGACAAACTACAAAATATGAGGTTTGAGTCTGACTAAAATAATATGCTAAGGCTTTCTTGAAAAAAGAAAAGAAAGAAAAGTCATGGCACAAAGTGCAAGGCAGGTTTTCTGGAGGAAAGGAGATTCTCAAACATGCTTTATGATGCCACAGATGGCTTGAACACTATTCATTCTTCAGCTTCTTCCTCCAACATACCCACCTCCTTCAGAGAGAATTTTTACTCCACAACTAATTACCTGAGATTCCCAAAGCTTGCTACAATTTCCCTCATCTCCTAACCCATGCCTCCAACCTCTATGCAGTTGTCGCCAAGTCTCCCCATCCTGTTCTCCACTGTGCACTTTATCTGGATAATTCCTCTTCATCTTAAATTAGCTGTCAATTCTTCAGAGAAAGCTGTCTCAATCCCTTAAGGCAGGGCTTGGTATTTTCATATGTGTGCTTACAGAGCTCTGTATTATGTCTCATTACAGTACTTACCACAGTATACTGTGTTTATTTGCAATCCACGCCTAACTATAAACTCCATTAAGGATGGACTATGTTTTCTTTTCCTTTGTACCTGAGTTCTGATACTTCTGAATATTTTTCTGGTTTTATATGAATGCATAAAAAGCATGCATTTTAACCACTAGGTTTTTTTTTTTTTTAAAGCTTACATCTTTGATATTCTAAAATTCTGCAGTTGTTATATGATAAAAGTACTTCTTTGGAATTGTAATGTGAGAGTAATCACATTTAAAATTATCCCAGTTAATAATAAAATTAAAATATACTCCTTATTTTGCAAAGTGAAGAAAAGAAAAACAGAATGATAACAGGGGGAAGATATTGAAAGAGACTAGTCCACAGTTTACAGCATGAGAATCAGGCAGATGTGGAATAAAGACTAGAATTCCACTGCCATAAATGTGAACCAAATGCATGGAACTAATGAATTAAAAATGTTTCAAAGGAAGAGTCAACAAGTCTTGATCACTGATTATGGGAACAAAGAACTAGCATCTAGAAAAGCTACAGTAGATCTAAGTCAGCTCTGGCCTTAGATTTAGGTTTAAATTCTGGCTGGCAACCAGTTATTAAAAATATTTATTATATTTTTTTCTCTTAACAATTTTTTTACTAAATCATAACTGTGTACATTAATGCAAAAATATTTACTAGCTTTGGGCTAATAGCTTAATGTTCTCTGCCTACTGAATAAAGTTCATTAAGCCTCCGTTTGCATTTCAAATACTTCCACCACGAGATTCAAAACTGAACTTGTATTTTCTTCTAGTACCACAATGCTACTTCCTTAAGAAGTCCTTCCTGATTCTCTCAAGTAGATAAACCTATCATTTAATGTTCCTAAACTTACAGAGATCTGACAACTAAGTTTGCAAACTTGCCACCTTGCATTTACATTGGCAACACTGTACAAACAAGTTGGTAAGGTTTCCTAACTTTGGTATTTCAGCATCTCACAGTTATGTTCGCGTCGACAGGTGGCCATGTCTTACTGTGTTGTGTTCATTATTGTTGCTGAATGCTCTCGTATGCCATCATGAAGATGTTGAAATGTGAATCAGAGCCACAAACACACATTCAATTTCTTGTTAAACCTGGCAAGAGTGAAATCCAGTGTATGCTAGTCCAAGTTTATCAGGATAATGCCCTGAAGAAAGTGGCAGTATACAAATGGATTAAATGTTTTTCTGAGGGAAGAGAAAGCGTCAGTGATAAAGACAAGTCAGGGCAGCCAGTAATGAGCAGAACTGATGAAAACATAGCAAAAGTTCATCAAGTTGTGCATCAAAATCATCAGCTGACTATGAGACTCAGCATAGCAGACCAAGTATCAATGGAGAAACAGAAAGATCTTAACAGACAATCTTGGCATAAGAAAATGTGTACAGGCTCGGCGCCTATAGCTCAACCGGCTAAGGCGCCAGCCACATACACCTAAGGTGGCGGGTTCGAATCCCCAGCCCGGACCCGCCAAACAACGACGGCTGCAACCAAAAAATAGCCAGGTGTTGTGGCGGGCGCCTGTGGTCCCAGCTACTTGGGAGGCGGAGGCAGGAGACTCGCTTGAGCCCAGGAGTTGGAGGTTGCTGTGAGCTATAATGCCACGGCACTCTACCCAGGGGGATAGCTTGAGGCTCTGTCTCAAAAAAAAAAAAAAAAAAAAAAAGTGTACAAAAATGGTCCTGAAGGAGCTCACCGATGAACAAAAGCAAAGAACAGTTGAAGTTTGCCAAGACATTTTAGAGAGGCCAGATGATGTTTTAGGCCATGTCATTATAGACGATGAAACATGTGGGTATTCTAATACAACCCCAAAACAAAGCATCAGTGGCAATTCTCCATGACCAAAAAAATTCCATCAGTCCAAATTAAGAGTCAAAATGATGTTATTAACCTCTTTTGTTATCAAAAGGATTGTTCATTATGAATTTGTACCATCTGGGCAAAGAGCTAACCAAGGTGACTATTTGGAAATGCTAAAAAGGCTGCATGAAAAAGTTAGACAAAAGCAACCTGAACTTTTATGCCAACTCATGGCTCTTAGATCATGACAATGCACCAGCACAAGGCACTGTTGATGTAAAGGAGTTTCTTTGTCAGTAAACAAATAACTGTAATAGAACACCCTCCCTACTCACCTGACTGCCCCTCAATGACTTTTTTCTTTACCTGAAGATAAAGGAAATAATGAAGATAGTTTGATGACATTAAGGAAATTACAGGTAATATAATGATAGCTCTGATAGTCATTCCAGAAAAAGAGTATCAAAATTGTTTTCAAGGGTGGACTACGTTCTGGCACCAGGTGTTTCCCAGGGGGAGTACTTCAAAAGTGACTACAGTGCTACTCAGCAATGAGGAATGTACAACTTTTCCTAGGATGAGTTCCCAAACTTAATTGTCAGACCTCCCTGTATTCTATATCATAAATCAATCTATATACTTGTCAACTCTAATTGGATTATAAATTCTTTGAAAATAGAATCATATCTTATTCATTTTTATATTACCTGAACAGATCATCTGAGTTCAAATTCAGCTGTCACTTGCTAGTATACAACACACAGGGCAAGTTACTTAATCCCTCTCTGTTTCATTTCCCTCATCTATAAAATGGGGATATTAACAGTACTTACCTCCTTAGATTCATATAAAAATTAAATGAAGTAATATATGTTAAAATGCTTGGAATGGTGTATATCATAAATGTTAAATGTTTAAAAATTACTATTTATTATTATTAATAATCTCCAACTTATTTATATTAAAATATTTTCAAAAAGTAATATAAAAAAATACCTCAATGAATAACTATACCTTTCACCTATATTTACTATTAAAATATTAACACACTTGCCTACTTTGTGTCTATGTATTTGTTGCTAAACCACCTGACGATAAGTTCAAAATAACATAAAATGTCACTGGATGAACATTTGAAGTTTTCTAGGAAAAGAAATGAATTATAACTGAGAAGTCTAAGAAGCCAAAAGACAAAGAT